AACCATTCTATGATTCTATGATTCTATCAAAGCTGCTTTGAGTGTGTTTGCAAAGCATATAAAAGAATCATCAACCAGTAACAGGAGTAGCTCTTTTCTATCAGTGAAGCATCAGTGAACAGTCAGAAAGGAAGAGGTAAGACTTGCTGAAGTCTTACACTGTGACAACGGTCAAAGATTTCCTATTTGAGAAACTGAAAATGATGGGCTGCTTGTAGTTAGCAAAAATCAAGAGCCTATTTTCATATTCAAATATTTGTCTAGAAATCTCAGTGTGTTTTTATGTTTTACAAAGCAAAAAGTGAACAAGAGAAGCGACTTGTTTCTCCATTATTATTACCAGTCCTGCCCTTTCATGGGCAGCTCCTCATGAAAACCACCCCCTCTCTGGGCACAGCCACTGTCCTCTCCATATCTGAAACACGCAGCTGAATCCTTCTGCATGCTGTTGAGGCTCAGTAGCTACAGATCACCCAAAGTACAAAAATAGACAAGCATATTGTTATTAGCTGTAGTGTCAGACCCTTCCCTGCAGCCCTTCAGAGCTGCAACTGCACATAAAGTTATGAAGTGGAACGCATCCAATGCAGACCATCTCTAGAAAGGTCTCCTTTCAGAAAATGAAAGTTGTAATTTTTCAAAGGAGTGGAATCTGATTGCTGTCAGGGAGGCTCTTCACAAGATAACAAAAGGCACGCATTATATATTGAATCCTCTCATTTCACATCTGGTTTGAAACAGGGATGTGACAGATTTTGAAATAAAGCTTTAAAACTTACAATGCAGCCAAATCAACATCTTTTTCCTAACTTAATTTTCAGAAACAAAGTCATTCTGACAGATGTGTTCTCATCAAATCAAACTACAGGTTGACATTCTTTAGAGACTTTTTATAGCAAAGTTATTCACAACTTATTCAAAGTTATTCACAACATGAGTCTTAGAACAGGAAATGTCAGAAGTCCTTAATAAACAGAGAAGCTACTGAATCAGCATTCAATTAGAATCTATACTAATCAGTCAACTGTGTAACTGAAAGGGCAGATACACCTGCAGTAAAACATAAATGTTTTTGTGAAACAAGATTTGCAGTATGTAGAATTAAATACATAATTTTCTTACCCATCTGACTGGGTTCTTATTTCAAGCACCTTGAACCTCTGTCTTCCTATTGCTTTCACTTTGACTGTTTCAATTCCATATTCCTGCTCTTCTCTGTAGGCATATATTTCTGCTGTTGTTCCAAAATGTGCTTCCCTTTCACGTACGTTACTAAAAGTAACAGAATTAAAAAGGTTACCCACCCTCCACACAGCATTGTTCGTTCAGACCTCACGAGCTGGTCTGCCTGCACTGACTGCACACAATTAGTCTTATCAAAAAAGTACATTTGGTAAAACACCTTCAATCAACTGCAAACATTATTTTCCCATATTAAAAACAACTTCTCATGTTTTGTTTGGTTGGGGGATTTTGCCAGTTGACTTGGCTTTATTTTAGGGTCTAGAGGTGAAATTCTGGGAATACAGGGATCACCAATGTATCTGCATTTGAAATCAAATCAAAATTCCTTAGACTGACTTTCTAAAAATAACTGTTCCCACCTCCTATATGATAAAACCATAGTAAATTGGAGGGGAGAGGAACATTCCCAACTTCTTTTGGCACAGATTAGCCTTTATCTTTTCTACTTTTCTACCACCTCCTGTCTCTCAACTCTATCGAGAAATGTTTGTCTGTGCTTGTGAATTTATACACAGAACAAGCAAATACAACAAAACAGTTCTCAAAACGAGAATCCAATTTTTACATTTCAGATCAAGGTTTACTCTTTAAGGAAAACGGAGCAGTGCATTCAAACAGCTCCTGAAAACAGCAGGATGCTCAAACAAGGAAAGCACATCAGCACTTGCTGTTTCTCTACACAAACACGTGATACTGTCATGCAGCTACCCATGTATGACCTGAACACCTTCTCGTTGCGTATCAGGAGACGATTTTTGTCAAACAATTTCAAATCACAACTTATGTTATTCACCACAGAGCTGATGCGACCATCTGCTTTTGATTTAGTATCCAACGAAACTGTGCTAAAAATACATGCTGCATACCATCAGTAAACCCACCCGTGTATTTTACCTGTATGCAAGAACAGCAAACGTTCTGTCTTTCTGAATTAAGTTCCGCACCATGCTAACCTCTTGAGGGTGAAAAAGCTGAAGAGGTAACGTCTGTCCAGGAATCAACATCACCATCACGTGGGGCAACACTGGAATCACTTGACAGCTGTCATCATCATGCACTGTTCTTCCATGAAACTCTTCCATATCAGAACCTAAATACTGAAAGCAGTAAGTAAGGAAATGACAGTAGTGTAAGAGGTTTGGTGATTCACAAGAATAAAATAAAATTCAGTCTTTGGCTTAGGGTTATTACAATAGAATTACATGAAACCAATCAAAACCTCTGCAAGACTTTGTTAATGGGCAACACATAAAGAACATACCATGTGTGATGTTGGCAAACTGGTATCAAAATTAATGATGTTTGGTTTTTCAGCTTCTTTACTATCTTGATCTTCAACTTCCATTTCATTGTCATCCTCTTCCTCACTCTCTGCTAATAAGCACATAAAGAATACTGTGCAGAAATCAATCAGCAAAGACTAAGATGCTGAGAAAAATCAGAGAATCACAGAAACGCATTCAATAGTCCCAGAGTACAGCCTTTCACAGGGAAGCAACCTTCATATTGGTAAACTTATGAAAAATAATCTTGCTGCACCATTCTATAGAAAGGGTCAAAAGCTGCTCATTTATTTTTGAAAAGCTAAAGAACAACTTTTAATGGAGGAAAATAATAAACAAGTTCTGCCAACTCAGATTTTCACTACAGCAGTATTTCGTCATCTCAATTCTAAATGTCTTCTGCCTGCACACCGAGATGCCAGGTAACTTAATTTCTTGTAGGATGCTGAATACAGTCTTCAAAGTAGTACAAACCAGAACAACATAACTGCACACACAAAGCGAGCAAATTAAAGGTATCCTGAAGCTCTATCTTCATGCAAAGACTCTTGCTGGTGTTTTTAGCAATTTCATTGCTGTCAGCCTCTCCCGTGCGTGTACGAAACACACGCTCATGCAAACTGCAGCACACACACAAACCCAGCAAGGGCAACTACTAAGAAAGCAAATAACACGACTCTGCAAAGGATTTCAGGTACAAAACAGTATTTAAAAGTCACTACTGTCTTCCCGTTTCTCAGTTCCAGGTGTCAATCCTAAAATCACTTTCAGGCAAGAAGACAGTCAAATTGCCAGTACGTTTTATTTTGGAAACGCAAATAGTGCATTTATCTGTATAAAATCTGTATAGATATTTTAAAATAAATTCAAAAACATAGTGAAGAGAACAAAAACCATACCTATCTAAAATGCTGGTTTGCTGCCTGTTCTGTGCATCACCATACAATGTACGCGTGCAAATACCCACCCAAACCAAATGCAATGTAATTAGCACACGTTCGTAACTGTATTACCTGATCCTATTTCTTTTAAAACAAACAGTATTTATACACCATGCTATATCTAAAATAAATGTGATCATAAACTTTGCAAACCAGTTCTCCAGGATTCTTACACCAATAGCTGCTGGGTAATGGATAATCCCAATGGTGCTGAAAAACATAATTTAGATCTTGAAAGCTATTACAAGATAGACTGTTGTAAAGATATTTTTCTGTCTATCTAGTTGCCTGCCTTTGCAATTAGTATCTTCCTAAGAAATAATCCAGAGGTGAAAATTTAAAAGATGGAGTGATCTGAAAGGTACTGTAGGCAAATCTTACAAAAGAAAGATGGTCCAGAAGGAAAGAGTTCTCCTTCAGAAATGGGAGCACCACTGTCCTCGTTCACTGAGAGCTTACTATTTCCAAGAGTGGGAAGACAAAAGAACAAGGTAGAAGACATTATAAGCTGAAGAGAGAAGGAAAGAAGAAAGGAAGGAGAATCTTTTCTTTCCATCTTTGGCCTTCAGACACATTTGTTAAATGTATTCTTTACAAAATGTTTAGTCAATGGCCTTCTTTTTGCTTCACCTCACTTTTTTTTTTTTTTAAATATTGCATAGTGTACAGAAACTTCTCTGTAGGAGGCACAGCATGACATGCTGATGTTACAGCTCCATCCTACATGGTATTTATCTCAACAAGAATCGATCCGGTGCTACAAGAGGTTACAGACTCTCTTTGGTGTTTTACCTAATTACAGAACTTAAAGCAATAAGATATCATCTTCCTAATTTCTGTAAAAAATATTCCCATCTCTGTATGAAATCTCTCTTACATTTTATTCAGCTAGGAACCCTAAACATACATGACTGCAAAATGTTTAAGACATACAAAACGGCCAGCACTTTGCTTAGTTTGATGGAGGCAAAGAGGAGGAAATTTTTGCTTGGTTCTGGGGCAGCAGTTCAGGATGGGGGGAGGGAAGCTGGATTCATAAAAAAAAATGATATTCTGGTTTGCATGCACCCTCACCAAGTTGCATCGATCATTAGCATTTTTAATAGCCTTTAATAGCCTTTCAGAGAGAGGCTGCCTCACTGGTTTTCCTGAACGCCAGAGGAATTAGCAGCAGTTGATTACAAAGAACTGTGCCCTGCAAACTTTTGCTCGTTCTTGCCAAAACCGCGCTCTGGCTGCTGTGTGGTGGCAGAGAGAAACGATGACTCATTTTACTGCAGCAGCACCATGTGAGCGTCGAAAAAACACCATCGTCTTCACTCTCCTCCTCCTCCATCACACCACAGGAGCAGGAGAGGGAAGGTGAAGGAAACTGCACCTTTCACACTCTTAACTATACACACTTTTTTTGTTGTTTTTTTTAATTTCAAAATTAGGGAGACCTCCGGTGCACAGAAACAAGAGAAAGGCAAGTGCCAGAGGCACCCTGCATGACAAGGCTCACGTTTTTTTCATGGCAGCTCAGGCGTTCCTGGATGCTCATCCTGGCCCACTAACACTACCAAACCTACTCTCAACACCTTTGTGCAGAAACAAGGAAACATGAAGCTCATTAGAAAAAAAAAAAAAACACCACAAAAAAACACCAACAAAACAGTAACTGGCTAGGAAATATTAATATGTTTTCTAAAATATTCAGGAAATATTTGCATAGTATTTTAAATATACAGGCACAAACCACTCAGAATTTCCTGCTATAGGAAATGAAACCGGTTACTGGCAGGACTTAACTGCTACATCCTCCTTTGCATGCTTAGTCTGAAATAATTCAGTTTTTTCCAGTTTAGCACAAGCTGCTTCCAAAACGGCATGATCTCCTGTCAGTTTGGAGGCACTACATGCGAAACCAGCAAAGCACAGGTTATGCAATGCGGAATTACGCTGGGGGATGTGGAGGGACAAGCCAGGCTGGGACAAACCCCAGCACAAACCCTGCAGAAGTCTGGATAACGTGTGGAATCCAGCACCGCCCTCGAGTCCTGCGCACAGCACCTGCTTATTCATGGCATTTAAAGGGAGCGGAGACTTTCTAAACCAGCAAATGTTTTCCTCAGACTTCGTTTGGTTCCAGAGAAGCCCAAGTTCACAGGGATGCCTGCCTCCGTCTGCCCGCTGGAACCGTGACGGCCGCCTGGACACGCACCGACGGCGCATCTCTTCTCTTCCTCCCCCGCGGAACGACGGCCTCGGTCAAACCGCGCTGGAAGCGGCCGACGTGCCGCAGAGCCCGGGG